TACGACAAGGGGCCTCCAGAGCCCGGCCACCCCCTGCCCCCCTCAGCAATGCAGGTGCATGGGCAGTGGGGCCATGAGGCAGCAGTGGCTGCTGCTGGTGTCCCTTCCCCTCCCCCCCAACAATGCAGGCAGGTGGATGGGGACAGAAGCGGCACTGGGATAGGTATGGGTTCAGGCCGCTTGTCGTGGCCCAAGCTCCAGACCTGGCCAGCAGCACAATGCAAGCTGCTTGGGCTCCTGCCAGCAGCCTTGGCAAAAATCTGGAGGGGGATGTGCCCCCCTCCCCCCACGAGTAGCCCATGATTAGGGACAGGGGTGACAACAGCCTCTTCCTGGTGAGGTTGCGCTGCGGGTGGGAGCCAGGCAGGCTCAACTATGTGGGGCAAGCACCAACAACCCAGGTGGCAAGAAGCAACACTTGGAGGGGTGGCTACAGGGGGCTAAGGCAAATTTTGGGGTGGCTATAGCCCCCCAACACCCTCCCCTTCATGTTGCCCCTGATTAGGTACCTACCAAATTAATGGAGGGAGTGGGCTATGCAGAGGCTCCTTTAATCTTTGCAGGTTTCCCTGTGCAACCTCCCACCATTGATTGGTGGAGAAGCCCCACTGCTTGCCACTCGCTCCTAATCTACGGGGAGGCAAAATCCACAGTTTTAAATATGGCGCTGTTTTTGCCATTCGCTGCTAATTGGCCGAGGGGCCCTGGCAGCCCTGCTGTCTGTTGCTGTCCAGCTGGGAGGCAAAAAGCGCACCATATTGAAAAGCACAGTTTTGGCCTTCCCGCTGATTAGGGGAACGGCAAGTGGTGGAGAGGGGACACAGGGGAACCTGCAAAATCAGTGGGAGTGAAGTGCATGGTGGCTCCTTTGATTTTGCAGGTTCTCCCACGTACCATCACAGAAATGGGTCCCTGCCTACATCCTGGCCTGTGTTCTCCTGCCTCTGCCCCCGGTGCCTGCTGCTGTGGCGTTGGGAGCTGTCACTACCCCAGAGAAGCAACTTAAAAAAAAAAAAAAAAAAAAAAAAAAAATTAAACACTTTCCTTGGCACACCTCCTGGCATACCAAGGAAAATGTCTCTGGGTGCCACTAATTAGCACGTGTGTCAGGGGTCACCTATCCCTGACCTAGAAGGCAAGAAATTTAACTATGCTAGTGTAGTTCTCCACCACTGGGTTTACACATTTAAAAAAAATAAAAAATAAAAAAGAGACAGGCATCGACTGTATCAATGCTGTAAATGTTAGGCTATAATAAACAGTGTTTTAATGCACGGGAAGTACACCCAATTCTTCCTGTCCATAAAAAATACCAAAAATGTATTGCACCATCTGGGCATTAATATTGTAAAGTCATGCATTATTTTATTTTCTTAACTGTGTGTAGAGGATTGTCTATATGTTAAGTGGGCTGCAAAGAAATCTTGTTTTAAACAATCTTTAACATGACAAGTTACCAACAATATTCAAGTTTTTCAATTTAAAAAGATTCAAGGTGACTTTAGCAAAAGATATTTCTGTAATTAGAACACTGAGTTTAAATATTTAACATCCAAGTACAAAAGTACTTACTTCGAATTTGCCTCTTGATTTCCTTTGATGAGTCTAACCAGTTCTAAAAAATAAAAACAAAAACAAAAAAGGAAGAACATCAACATATAAAGAAATAATTCAAACCAAAAAGTAATACTGTTTCATATATTCCAAATAAAGACCAGGCAGTACATCTCTGTTGATCTACTTAAGGTGTACTGTATCTTAATTTAAGATTTTCCAGAAAGAATTGAACATTAATTCTCCTTCAATTACCATTATATCCATACAAATGATTATACAACACTTTGAATTCATTCTCTTAGACTGACGTTGTTCCTTGGGTGAATTTGATATCTTTTATTAGACCAACCCAAATAGTTGGAGAATAGTTATTAAGCAAGCTTTCGGGTTCAAAAACCCTTCGTCAGGCTAAGGAAGTTTCAGCAGTTGGTGTGTGCTCTTCCTGGATGGAATGAAAAGTCTTAGATTGGGCCTTGGACTTCTGTAAATCAGATGATGGTATACTATCCTCTACTGAAGGTTTTCAAGCAAATTACACTTGACAAAACCACCAAGTAAATTCCTTTATTCTACCTTTTGATAGAAAGGAGATCACCATGTCAGGGAGATATAATCTCTATATAGAATGCAAAACCAGTTTAAAGTGAGGATACAAGACACACTTCTCTTCCATTCTCCATAATGTTTTTCTCCCTTCTCCATTTCAAAATTCACACACACTTCCTGGCAACATCAGGAAAGGGTTTGGAAAAGGCTAGTAACCGAGTTTACTTTCTCCCATATTTCTTAAAAGATCTGACCAGAAAGTTTGAGAGACTAGTAAAGTGTTTCTCAACCTTTTGAGACTCAAGATACCCCTCAGAAAATGTCAGCCCTTCATTTTCGTTTGATTTTTGACTACAGAAAAATAATGGAATTCTTCTTCTATTGCAAAGAACTCAGAAAGACAACAGGCAAGAATTATTTTATCACTGTGGATTCCCTACTTGCCATCTCTGGGTTATTCTTGTGAATCATTTTGCGTACCTAATAGTGTTAATATTGTGTGACACCCTGTAGCACCCCTGAAAGGATCTCAAGGCACTCCAAGATGCCCCAGAACCCTGGCTGAGAATCACAAGGGGCCTTTCAACTTTTGTTTATTGATACAAATTAAACCAGGTTTGCTTGAAATAAACATTTCAACAAACTTGGTTTAATTTGTATCAATTGGTGTTTAAATACCACAGTAATTAATGTTATATACACATGTATTTTTAAGTTACACACACACCACCCTTTGTGCCTGTAGGGTTTAATGCATTTCAAGAATGGGGCCAATAGGAGGAGGAAAGAGTTAGGCCCCTGGTACATATTAAATTGAAGGTATAATTTAGGTATCAATAGCACTACAAATAGTAACAGTGTTCACATTCAACCAATTTATGGTGCCACAAATTTGATCAACAACATACGCATGTGGAACATCTTTGTGTCTCATTTGTATGATGCCACAAATTGCATGTGTAGCATCCCTCCTGATGCTGACAAAAATCAGCTGATTGTCAGCATCAGCATAGGAACAGGGGTTATTATTGAGACTGGGACAGCCCTAGTCCCAATACCATAAATAAGGTGCAGGTTGCAAGGTTCCTTGCGAGGGAAGCCAAGGGGCTGCATGACAAATCACTTTCAAATGCTGGGTGGCAGGAAGCTGGGCTATACAGGCAGGTCTTAGATGTCTTGGGGCAATGGGACTCTGGGATGGGAAAGAGGGTTCCCAGTGCCCAGATTCCAGGCCCTGGGACTTCTGAAAACTGCATATGTGGGTTGGAGGTCCTAGGACTGTCCCAGAGCCAGGGCTAATAGTGAGCTAGCTGATTGTTGGCTCTGGCCAAGACAGTCCTGGGTCTCAAACTGGTCCTGGGACTACGAGCAAACCTAGGTCTGAGACAGAGCTGTCCTCTGCCTGATCCACAGGAACAGGCTGAGAGCAGCTCCACAGTGGCACAGTTGGGATCAGAGGAATTTTATGCCCCAGCCCAACCTTGGACCTCCTGCCATTCCAGATCTGCATGGCAGGAGGTACAATGTTTGCGATGGGGCATAAAACTCCTCCAATCTCAATTGTGCCATTATTTTAATGTCTGTCAAGTGCCTTAGAGATTTAACTTTCTGGGTCGGGTATTCAAGATTTTTTACTTATAATAAGTAAAAAGTGGATGTCCTGGGGCTAATCTGAACACTCATTTGTCTCAGGGCAAACCGCCCGCCTACCTCACCTGTCATGCCTTTGATGATATTAATTAGAAGATGATAAAAAGGAGAGAGGCTGCCCATTTACTTGCCCTGATGTCAAGGGCCTATATACATGGTTCCGACCTTGCCTATACCATGCCCCATGCCTCGCAGATGGCATCTATATCTCTCTAGTGCCCCACACTGGGATCCGCACTCCTGTGCCCTCACACCAGTGCCTCATGAATGGACTCACTCCCGTGTCCTCACACCAGGGTTCACAATCTCTGTGTCTCACATCAGGACTCATAATCCCCCACCCAGGGCTTCCAGCCCCTACCTTTTTCCCAGGTTCCCTGCCTGGCTTGGGACCCTCTTGGTCCCATCACACCCGCATACTGGGGCCTCAATCCTCTTCCCAACACTGGGCCTCAATCCCCTTAATCCCCTTGCCCAAGAAGCCTTACATCTAGCTCCCTCATAGGCTTAGGGTCTCAACCCCCTGGAGCCTCACATCTGACTCCTTAAGGCAACTTACAATTCGCAGTGAGCCTGGAAGCTGCCTTAGGTCCCTTCCTGACCTGGGCCCTGCCTTAGGACTCACTGTGATGATCCTGGGCTCTTGCTCTGACTTCGGGGTGTCCTCTCCTAGCCTTTCCCTTCCATGGGGTCACTTGCAAGGCAGTGTGGGCTGAAGCTTTCTGGCATCCTATACTCTCCCTTCACTGGGAAGGCACAGATGTGGCATTTCCTGGAGACTGCTCCACCACCGTCAGTCCCACCACACCATCCAGCCCCAGCAGGGTGTAGTTTTAGATCATGCCTCCGGACCAGGAGCCTCCACCTTTCCCACAGCTCCTACCCTGTACCTTCAAGGTGTTGTGAGCAGCAGCTTCAACCAGGTGGCATTCTTCCCCCGGCTGCTAGTAGCAAACTGCTGGCTACACTGCTCAGAGCACTGTTTTTATGCTCTCTTACATACCATCCTGAAAATATTAAAATCTTCTGAGGGGCTCTCAAAGGCACTAAACCAGCAAAGCAAAGGCCACAAAGGTGCATGTTCTGACTGATCTACCTATATTCTTCCACTGCAATGCAATGTACTACACATCCTTCCAGTGTGTCAACCACAGTCTTTTCTTGCCCAAGCTACATTCAGTTCAACATCACTAAATGCAGTTCCATATTGTTATTTTTACCCTAGTCTAAATCCTTGAAGTATACTCAATGCACTAGCATAAATAAATAATTTACAAAGTAATTTGTTCCATGTGTCCAGTTTCCCCCCGTCCCGAAAGGATATGGACAAGTTGGACAAAATCCAGCAGAGAGCAACGAAAATGGTTCGGGGGCTGGGGCACATGACTTCTGAGGAGAGGCTGTGGGAACTGGGCTTATTTAGTTTGCAGACTAAAAGACAGAGGGGATTTGATAGCAGGCTTTAACTTCCTGAAGGGTGATTCCACTGAGACCACTGCTCCTTGTTCTGTAATCTTCTAGCTGTCTAGACTTCTCAGTGGTGACAGATGACAGCACAAGGAACATGGTCTGAAGTTGCAGCAAGGGAGGTTTAGGCAGGATATTAGGAAAAACTCTTTCACTCGGAGGGTGGTGAAGCACTGGAACAGGTTACCAAGGGCAGTGGTGGAATTTCCATTCTTGAAGGTTTTCAGTATCTGGCTTGACAAAATGCTGCCTGGAATGATCTAGTTGGAGATGGTCCTGCTTTGAGCAGGGGGTTGGACTAGATGACCTCCTGAGGTCCCTTCCAACCCTAATTTTCTATGATTAACTTTTCTTTTGCACCAGTGTAGTTTGTCTACATTAGGAATGTGTTAATTACATTATCAGCTTCACTCAAAGAACCTTGTCTGCCTATGTCCTTAGACTAACACGGCTATAACCTACATCCCTTAATTACATTCATGTACTTACACACACGTTTCCTAAACAAACCCTTAGTTTCAAAAACCAGCATCAACACCTACAAGTAGTAAAATGCATTTACAGCATAAAGAAAAAAGATTTTCCATTCCTTCATATCTTAACTTTCTGTACATAAGGACTTAGAGTATCTGACTTTTATGTAAGAATACCTCATTTCAATTATGGAAAAAAAATGAAACTAAGTAATTTCAGCAATGCAAAGGTTTCCCTTCCACAACAGAACAAAGACTGGAAACACTTTAATGGAATTTCAGAATAAATGCGACTTTTTAAAAAACTGTAAGTAAAATTATTATACATTTCTATGAAATACCCTGAGATATGGAAATAGTTAAGAATTTCTTAAATTCAAAGACTAAAAGGAAACTACTTTTATATTTGATGGCTCTTATGAATGCCTCCAAGCTACCGCAGCCTGTATAATTGTTTTAGAAAAAAAGTTTCTTTTTGAAATGCTCTCAGGAAGTCTGGTATGCTCTGCCTAAGGGCCTGGACATATGATGCATTTATGAGTGTAACTTTGCAACGCTACAAAACGAGTGCAATTACACTAGGATCTGAAACAGAGGAACAGCCATTCTAAAGGTAGATGCTTATAGCAAGCACTATTACAGAACTTTATCATTAGATGACAAAAAGCAGATAATAGCTTGTATCCCTTGACCAAATGGGTAACCTGTTGTACAGGTTAGCAGTGCACAGAATGTCCACATTGATGCAACTTACAGCTTTAGTCCTGATTCTTTCATGAGTAATTCACTCCCAGTTGGGCAAAGTTCCCTAATTATACAGTCTGTTTGCTCCTTTTTTTCCCCCACAGTGTAATAAACATATCCTTTTTTCCAAGCCATAAGTCACAGCTGTCATCTAGTGAGAAAAGATTTTCAGGGTGAA